AGATGCACGGTATTAACATTTAACTACATTAATCAATCAACAAGATCACATATCAATTTATGAAATTTAATAAAGGAATTCAACATAATTCCCTACCTGGATTCCAAGTAATAACATGATAAATCCAATTTACAAACACAATGTCTACTGTGAACAATTCCTATTCACTTGAATCTAAGGGCTGGACTAACTTTATGGAAGTAAGCAAGAGTAGGGATTCCAGACCACTCAGCGGAATCCAACTAAACTATGGTCGCCTATTTCAAATATACCAAGTACAACTAATCCTCATCACCCCTAGAATGCGTATGGTCCCCCATAGCGGATATACAAGCAGAATTGTATGAATAATCTTATTGTGTAGGCAGTGATCACCCATCGCAGATATACCAAGCATGATCACCCTTGAATACGTATGGTCCCCCATCACGAATATACCAAGCAGGACCAAACCCTAACTCTAGGTAGTGATCACTCATTGCAGATATACCAAGCATGATTAATGCGTATGGTTTCCTATTGCGGATATACCAAGCAAGACCATATGCATAGTCTAATAACGTAGGTAGTGATCACCCATCGCGGATATACCAAGCATGATAAACCCTAATAGTCCTTCATCGCGGATATACCAAGCAGGACTATATCCTATAGCTCTAGGTAGTGATCAACCATCGCAGATATACCAAGCATGAGCACTTCTAGAATGCGTATGGTCCCCCATCTTGGATACACTAAGCAGAACCATAAGCATAGTCTTATCGTGCAAGCTGTGATCACCAATCATAGATATACCAAGCAGGACCATCCATGTACCACTGCTACATGGTGCAATAAATTCAACACACAACCTATCCATACCTCAACCCTATGAGTGACAGCGTAGTCACCTACACCATCAACTTCTCATGGCCACCAACTAATCTGTCACACAAGCATATAAGTTGTATAGAATACATCTAATAGGATTCTAGGATTACATTGTCATAACATTTATCATAATTATCATTCACATTATTAAGAAGATAAATAAACACACACACACACACACACACACACATACATACACATATATCACAATATGACGTCTCATACACGTAAACTGATGTATATATATCTGGGATAATCCACTAAGCAATAAAGACCCACTAAGCCCTACATAGTGTCTGTTAATACAGATTTTAATATTTAAGATCAATTCGTAGCCTATTGACCAAAAGTTAAGTCTTTGTCAAAGGTGGGGTCCACAACCCTATACAAGTCAATCTGGAACATCCACCATGGATTTCTGATTAGTAACTTCCCAAAGGTCTCGTTTATCTTCTAGAATAATATTCCAAAATTTCAGAACAATCCAATGGTCGGATCTCCGTCAATTGCTAGAATTAGGTTGCTATCAACGTTTGGTTTTACAAACTTAGAAATTCAATTTATGAAGATCCGTATGTTGGATTCCCAATCTGTCAGTTCCTATGGTACTCAAATATTATGTACTATAACGTACTAAGGTTTGGTGACGATCCAACGGTCGAATCGTTGAATCATAAAATAGTCAAGTGACATAATATTCCATACTAGGTTCAAACTATCGAACTATATCAAATGGTTATCAAATTTGAAATCAGAACATCGAATTTAACTTAAAAAGGTAGGGTCGGCCCACTAGCCACACGCCACTGTAGGCGCCGCCACAGGTGGCGATTTCCGGCAAACGGAAACTTGAAATTCCGACCAACACTAAAATTCACCAAATTTTGCAGAAATGTACAACTTAAGGAGAGGAACATTTTTCATACCTGGGCCGAAGTCTAGTTCGATTAGGAAGTGGCCTGAAAATCCCTCGAAGTGTCAGAAACCCTAAAAATGGTGAGCTTCGATTCGTCACCAAAACAAACTCTGACATCTCATTCAATGCTTGGGCCTTGTTCCTGAGGTTGAGGGAGCCTATTGGTGGTGGTAATTGGCTAAGTTAGTTTCATGATTTTCGGATCGCCGTCGTACACCCACACGCATCATCATTCGTTTTTCCCCAAAACTACCACCAAATTCCTTATAATTTTGGGTGAAAATGGAAGAGGGAAGGCTAGGGAGCTGTTTCCAGGTGGCGATTTGCTTTGATTCGCTGTGAATGCCATCGGGTTTGCAAGCTGCGGTCTGGCTAGGTCGGCGGCTACACGGTTTTCTCCTTTTCTTCTTCTTTCATTTCCCCTCCTTTCTCTTTTCTAATTGGTCACTTTCTTTCCTCTCCCCCTTCTGATTGGTCAAGCCTTCTCCCTTCTTTTCCTTTCCTTTCTCTTCATCACGGCCTCACACGTGGCTTCATCCCAGCCATTCCTACTCCAACAAATTTGGAGCCTTCCAAATTTAATAATTAAAGGACCATTTTGCCCTTATCTTTGTTAATAACTCATTCATTATAACTCCAATTTACGTTCTGTTTGCGCCCACGTGTTTATATTGACACATACTATCCAGATATGCTAAGAAATCTGAAAAATTATGAAAATATCAAGTCCGTCCACAAAAAACTTGTTTAACATGATAAGGGCAATTTCGTCCCTTTACTTATCGAATAAAATTTTATATGCCGTAAATATAAACGTGTCAAAACTATGAATATGAATACTACATATTAGATACGTAATTTTAAACAGTGAAATCCGAGAACGGAATTTCATAGCAAGAGCCTAGGATGGCCCTTAAAGGTGGTCGGGTTTGAAACGCCTTGATCCCAGCGTTGAGGCCTATTTGTATCAGTAGTTTCGAATCCTCCTCTCGATGTTGGACCCCTTTTTTTATAATCCCACTTTTGTATAATATTCCTTCCGCTTGTAATCTTAATTAGTTGTATGCTCTGAGTATGTTCATGCATTCTCATATTTTTAATATTTACGTTTGTTTCTTTTCGACACAAATTGCATGCATCTTGTACATGATTTTAGCATAAGCATGGTGGATTGGCTTTCATCACCCTCGAATGTCGACCAACATGTGCCTATCCTGGTGATTTGGAGGATACCGGGATCGAAGCATGTCAGGGTTGCTGCTCAAAGAGGTAGGGTTGGATAACCAAGGCCGAGCAAGTCACTCGACATGCATCACTCTGAAAAGGCATGCCAATTAAACTAAGCACTTGTCACTTTACTGCCGAATACTTAGTTAATAGGTGAAAAGGTGTTAGTACACCAATCTACACAAGTGGTTCATTAAATACCAGATAAGGGGAACCCAAGGCTTGAGAGTTCATTAAGAGCCTATATATAAAGAGGTGGGATCCTCTTGGTGTTTGTGAGCATCCTCCACGAGCTCGTCACATTGTTGAGATTTTGTGGCATCCTCCCCTAATCAATTAGATTAAAGCTAATATTGGTGGTGCTACTGGTGGTTATCCTGGTTTAGCGAGTTTTGGTGTATTTCAGCAGGCTTTACTTTGGGTTGTTTTGCTAGCTTTTTACTATTTAGCTTCTGCTTTAGAAGCTGAACTCTCTGGTGTGGTTGAAGTGGTAACTCAAGCATAGTCTCAAGGTTGGTCGTGTTTATGGATTGAATGTGACTTGTCATTGGCTGTTCACTTTCTTTCTTCTTCAAGTTCTTTGGTGCCATGGCATCTTAGGGTTCGTTGGTTAGATGTATAGCTCTCTTAGCTAAAGTGCGTTCTCATTTTTCTCATAATTTTTTAGAGGGCAATCAGGTTGCTGATTCCTTAGCTAATTATGGCATTGTTCATGTTAGCTGTCAATGGTGGGATCATGTCACTTCCTTTGCGTGTACAGCTTATTCTAGGAAAACTTTTTAGGATTTCCTAGCTATCATGACTTTGTTGGCATTCTTTCTCTTGTGGGGTTTGGCTTTTTGTGTCCCGTCTTTGTGCTACCTTTTTCTTCTTTAATAGTTTAATAAACGTAGAGGGCTGATCCCCCTTGTATTAAAAAAAAAATTATTGATGTTCTAGACAGTGATTTGTAATATCTGCTCTCGGAGGAGATTAACTCTTAGTGTTTTGTTTCTTTTTACTAATTGCCCATTATACATGTTCCTCCCAGTACGCATTAGACTAACATATCATATTATTAGTTTTAGAGGAATGGCAAAGTAGATAGAACAAAGTTCCATCGTCTCTCCCTTCCACGAGTCCATGATCTCTTGTTCCTCTATTTCTCTCATCTCTCTCTTTTCTCCTGGCTTTGTAAAGTCCAAACCAGACTCAGACGAAGGGCAGCCTCCAGTCTGCTGTACTCCAGCACGGTCGCCGACCTTCATTTGAATGTTTTGCCGAGGGAGAAGAGGGAGGGAGTAAACGGGGATGCAAATACAAGGAAACAAAAAAGGCAGGAAAGCGGGAAAAAAAATACACAACTTACTATGTTTAAGCCAACCTCTTGTATTATCTCTAACTTCAACTTGAAAAGAACCACAAACGTCGATACCTAGATTGTATTACATATATAGGTTTTACTTTGTCACCGCTTTTTTAAGATACTTTATTATCCTGCTCTCAGCAATATCAACCTCGTGCTTGAATAAGAAATCATCTAAATGAAAGGAGCTAGGTGGATTCCAAGTTGAACAAGCCCATGTTTCTTATCAAATCTATGTCAACACTGCTCAACGGTTTTATCTCGAACAAGCTTTGAGCTTCAACTAATTTCTTACAATACCAAAAACTTTTACAGAATGATCTGAAAATGTTTGGTAAATTTGTTATCCTTTTCAATGATGTACTTATCTGCTTCCAATCTTGTTAAACTTAAGGGGAGCTCTGGAAGTGTTTGAAGCTTTGTGCAACCTTCTAGCAGCAGAGTTTGGAGCATAATAAGATCCTTCATGTTTTCTGGTAGGTTCAGAATTGGGTTTGCAGATAGATCCAAATGCTTCAACTGCCGATAAGAAACCAAGATCACTAGAATTTGTGATAGATTGCAGTTGGCAAGACTTAAGCTTCCTAAAGAATGTGGTAAACTTTTGAATGAGAAACCGGTCAATTCAAGATTTTTCCTTGGTAATACCCACAACACGATAGATTGCCATAGTTTAGCTGATAACAGGTTGAATTTCTTTGCAGCAATAGACACATGCTGGAATCTTCGTGAGATCTTTGCAGTCTCTTAGATTCAATAAAACAAGTTTCTCTAAGTCTCCAACTGACTCATCGAGCTCGACCAAATTTATGCAATTTTGAAGAATTAGTTTCTCAAGGTTAGGGAGTCCCGACATGTCAGGGATTGTTTTTAAGGCTGTGCGAATGACTGAGATTGAGAATTTTCATCCATCCAAGAAACTATAAAAGCGAGATGCAAATTAAGGTTCATGAGTATAGTATTTTCCATTAGTATGTGTACAGGTAATGTGAGAGAGAGAGAGAGAGTATTGTACCCTGGTTCCCTTCCAAGCATGTTCCAGGCTGCTATTCCGCAACTCAAGAACAACTAGATATTCCAAGAAAAAATTGGCTGGTATTGATTTTAAAGGAAATCCTCGCCAAGACAACCATGTCAAATTTTTCGAAAAATCCTCAAAGTCTCCATTGATTTGGACATTATTGAGCAGGAGAAGCTGAAGACTATTCATCCCTGTAAATGCCTCTTTTTTGAATTCCATCTCATTTGATGCAGAACGTTGAGCTAAATTTGTTGAGGAAAAGCTAAATCTGACGACGTCTTGAAGCATTTCCTTCATAATCTTCAACATGGCACCGTTTTCTGTTACTTTTACCAAATAATGTCTTGCAAGACTCATCTTCCATCAACACGGGCAGGTTGAGCATGAGGCCCCTAACCTTTTCTGTACCCTGCAAACAAATCAGACCATTCCATTAGTAACATGGCACACAACACAATTGCAAATGTACCAAAAAATGAACAGTTTTTTTTTTTTCCTTACAGTTCTTTTTCTCAAAATGTTAAAGGCATCTTTATGCCACACTCTACTACGTTTTCCAGGATCTTGAGGCGATTCTTCCCGAATAATTCCCCTTCCCATGTCTCTAAGTAAGTGATGCATGCTCAACCTGTTGTCTTCATTATCTATTTTTACGAGACATCTGTCAACCAGATTTTGAATTCCAATCCTCGTGTAAAAGTCAAGGCCGTCCAGTACTTTAATTGCAAAATTCTTCTCCTTTCCAATGATGAAACAGGCTATGTGAAGGAATAAATTTTTGTCATGATCATCTTGTAGAGAATCATAGCTTATTCGAAGAATATTTTGAACTTTGCCATTAGGAATTTCGTATAACTTTTGTAATGCACTTTGCCATACATCTACTTCGTTCCCAGACAAGGTAGACCCGAGAACTTGAAGAGCCAACGGAAGCCCTCCACAATGTTTTACAACAGATCTTGAAAGTTCCATGTAACCTTCAATTGGATGGGATTGTCCGAAGGTATGCCAACTGAAAAGCTCAAGCGATTCATACTCATTCAATTCCTCAACCTTGAACATTGCATGATCTTCATGTGCCCTTGACAAATTTTTGTGTCTTGTTGTTATGATGATTTTACTTCCTGGATAAAACCATTCCCTGATTCCAAGAATTGCGTTAAATTGATCCAAATTGTTCACGTACCTATGAATTATTGATCAGATCAAAGTACAAAAAGAACAATAAGATCATTGTTGCAATAATTTGATGAAATATCATCAGTATGAGAACCTCTTGCTAGTGTAAATTGAGTGTGCTGATAGTTATGTCATAATTATAAGACTTTAAAACATGTCAATTTAAATTCAAGAAAAATCTAATACTTTCGGAAAGTAATTACCTATCTTCCAAACCATCCCTGCCAGATCCGCAACATCTCTAAGTGCTCGTCTCCACTCCTCCACCTTATCCATATCCTCCTTGAAACGCTTTTCGTGTCTACAAAATGCTTCTCTGAAGCTCCCAGTCTGTTTCCTGACATGGGAAGGATCCACATCATAGAAAACCGGCATAACAAAATGTCCATCATCACTTCTTCTTCGTTCCATGATCCTTGCAAGTTCATCCAAGCACCACCTAGAGGTTGCATAGTTCTTGGAGAAGACGATTATTGATACTTTGGACTCGTTTATTGCTTTATGCAACTCTGCTGTAATATTTGCTCCTCTCTCAATTTCATCATCATCTCTAAAGGTAATTCCTGCCAGCTCCAAAGCTCGGTAGAGGTGATCAGAAAATCCCTTGCGGGTATCTTCACCTCTGAAACTCAAGAATGCATGGTAGCTACATCGGTAAAAGCAAGAAGAAGCATCATGCAGCCGCGTAAGGCTTATAGCAGCAGCCATTGACCTAGCAATGAATGATGAAGAGCTTACATTTTGCCGTTTTTCCCCATTGGCAACATGTATTTTGTTGTTTTTCAAGCATCAATTGTTTTCCAAAGACTAGAAGACAGGAACATATTAATTACATGTTGACATGTTGTTCATTTCGCAAGGTTGACCGCATACATATAAGTTTCCTCATGTCCACTGCATTTGTCCTTTTTTGTGTGGCTTAAACGCAAATGCTAATATATTTACAAGTAAGGTGTGGAGAATAAATTAGTATCAAACTCGCCATTCATGACATTCAAACTTATGACCTATCACTTACAAGTGAAGAAGAATACCACCATACCTTAATACTAAGTAGAAACCCTACAATCTTTTAAGAGGCTAAAAAGAAAAACACATAGTAAGTAGCTAGATAGGTACCTCGAGGAATATATAAAACCCCATACCTGATCACTAGACTAAAACACAAGCCTTATCACTCAACTAAAACCTTGTTTGTTAACTCAAATCTGCTAACCCGTCAATCTCGTGTTAGGTTCGTGTCCGGTCATGTCATGTCAAAAACTACTGCCCCTAGTTTATTACATATCTAGATCCCGTCATGTATGGACATAGGACTCGTTTGGCAAACATGATTGAATTGGAATGGAGTGCTCTCAAATTTCAATTTATATGGAACGTGAAATGAATGAATTTTCTTGTGGAGGGATTAGGATAGGATTAGCTTTGAAGGAAATTCATCCCTTCTAATCCCACCACCTTTAAAAACGATTGGAACGGATAACCTTTTTTCATCGAGTAATCCATCTTTTATTCTCTAGGTGGTTATAATTTTATAGTTTCTCCCTTTAACATACCTTTAGTTTAGTAGGTTATCCATTCTTCCAATCAAGAGTACCAAACGAGCCCATGAATTATTACACAGACGTATTACCAAATACTAAGATACACTATACATATGAGGAAATCGGCCAATAGTTCACAACTCGACAGATGTATATATGGGAAACAGTTGTGTGTAGAAGTTCCAACACGTTACAAATAACTGGACCAAATATAAAGTTCCAACATCAATGATGTCTTATTGGAGCTAGGCACTCATGTCATACGTTAAAACCATCGTCTTTGCACTTTTGTACTCGACAGAAGCTTGTTGTATCGAAAGTGCACAAGCTAGTAGCTAAACATGAAGGTAAAGAGCTACTATAGCTAACCAATAAGTTTGCAAACGATAAATTACTCTTCTGCTCTGTAATATCTGCACTTTGCAGAAATGACAATTTAAAACAAAACATGAGAGAGAGAGAGAGAGAGAGAGAGAAGCTAGTTACCTGATTATTGTTGCCGCTGCGTAAAAGGCATTCTTGTATGGAAAGTCAACAATTTGATGTCATTATATGATCTCCATGACACGTTGAATATCAAAGATGCTGCCAACTCACAAGAATTCCATTGAACTTGATATCAGAGAATGTATATAATTTGAATCCCTTATCAGCATATGCTGTTGCACTGGAAAAAGGTAAGATTATCCGGCTAGCCTGCAAACTGGCCTTAGTAATCGGATAAACTTCTGGGAAGGAAGATTAATTGTTGACGAAAAGCCAAGAAAAAAATAATATAGTCCAAAAGAGACCGATGTCATTAACTTGTTTAACATAAATTTCTCTCTACATTTTATTTCATCTCAATCGTAGTAGATTCAAGGCGCGGCAATCAGAAGACAGATTATAGAGAATGAAACCTAATTACATATCAATGCCTACGTAACATAAATTACATAAGCAACACCTAAATTGGATAGCTTAATTAGTCAATGCTCTTCTAAAATACTGCAGTTGGTACTTAGCAATGTCAACCTCGTGCTTGAATAAGAAACCATTCAAATAAAAGGAGTCCCCTGGCTTGTATGAAAAATCAGCAAAAGCTGGGTTCTCTTGTCTCCTTCTGAATTGAGCTTGATGGGTTCGAAGCCTATGATTACAAAGAAAGTACTTGCCTCTCCACATTTCGTACATTGAATCCGACACTGTGACATCTCCAGCAACAACATTACTTTGTGTTGTATCTTCATTATTTGATCGAACACCCTCACCCTTGCTTTCGTCCTCGTACACAAGTTCGATTCCAAACTCTTTTACACACAAACCGCACTTCACAGAAACCCGTATTTCGTCCCCACTCTCCAGTTCATCATTTCCAAACACCCAATGACTTAGCCATAACATGTCTTCGTTCTCTTTTGGAAGACCCATTGCGACAGGGGAATAGGTCCACATACGACCCTTGGTCTCATTACTCACTTTGAGAAAGTGTTCACTGGCAACATGTACACCACCGCTTCGATCAGGGAGTCGTGTGTATATAACGCATGCATTTAAGCCTCGGACCTTGATATTAACATGTAAAGGTACGAAAATCGACAACGACGAGTTAGCCATGCTCCTGTAGCTGAACCAATCTGGAATCTTGCTCCCATGAATGAAAATGCTAAATATGCCGCATTCTTTCAGTACCTGTTTCACGGAAATGACAGATTCAAATACCTACAAGCTAGCAGTTAGATTTTCAAACTTGGTTAAAATCACTCAATCATTACACCCCAGAGTCGGATTCGAATTTTGTTTTTCTTACGTGATCGATATATCTACATATTTACTCAAAGTAACGTATTTTATCTAAGGATGATAATCTCTCCTACCATAATCATTTGAACAACTAGCCTCTGAGCCATAGAAATTATAACCATAACAACAATATATGATAGAGAGAGAGAGAGAGAGAGAGAGAGAGAACCTGAAGGCAACACTTCTTGGTTGTACATGTCAGGTAGTTGATCATTTCCACTTGGGTGCTTTCAGTGGATTCCAAGTTAAACAGGCCCACATCTTTGATCATTTCTATGTCAACGTTTCTCAACGGTTTGATTTCGAACAAGCTTTGAATTTCAACTAACTTCTCACATTCATCAAAATTTTTACTCAATGATTCAAAGGCGTTTGGTAAATTTGTTACTCTTTTCAATGATGTACACCGACCTGCTTCCAATGTCTTTAATTTTGGTGGAAGTTCCGGAAGTGCTTGGAGCTTTGTGCAACCCTCTACTACCAGTTCTTGGAGCATGTGAAGACCGTTCATGTTTTCTGGTAGGTTTGGAATTGGGTTTGCAGATAGATCCAAATGCTTCAACACCGATAGGGCACCAAGATCACTAGAAATCTCTGATAGATTGCAGTTGGCAAGACTTAATCTTCCTAAAGAATGTGGTAAACTTTTGAATGAGAAACTGGTCAATGCAAGATTTTTTCTTGGTAATACCCACGACGTTAATGACTGCCATAAGTTAGCTGATAACAGATTGAATTTCTTCATAACACTAGCTCCTGAGTAGACCTGCTCTGTTGCATTACCCAGCTTGGAGCAACCAGAAAGAATGAGAACTTGAAGAGATCCCGACCTATTAAAACTTGTTGGAATCCTACTGAGATTTTTGCAGTCTCTTAGATTCAAAACAACAAGTTTCTCCAAGTCTCCAATAGACTCATCAACCTCAACCAAACTTATACAATCTTTAAGAATTAATCTCTCAAGGTTAGGAAGTCCCGACATGTCAGGGGTTGTCAAAAGGCTGTGTGAATGACTGAGATTAAGAACTTTCATTCTACCAACAAACTGTAAAGGAGAGATGCAATTAGTTTCCATGAATATAATTGATTTCATTAATTAGTATGTGTGTGTGTGTGTGTGAGTGAGAGAGTAGTAGTATAGTACCCTGGTTCCCTTCCAAATATGTTGCAGGCTGCTATTCCGCAAGTCAAGAACAACTAGATTTTCCATACAAAAAACGGCTGGTATCGATTTTAAAGGAAACCCTCTCCAAGACAGCCATGTCAAATATTTTGGAAAATCTTCGAAGCCTCCACAGATGCTTACATTATTAAGCACGAGCAGTTCAAGATTGTTCATCATTGTAAATGCGTCAGTTCTGAACTGCAAATCATTTGATGCAGGAGTTGAGTATGTTGAAGAAAAGTTACTTGCAATTGATTTCCAAGAAAAGAAATCAAGCCGACGACGTCTTGAAAAATTTCCTTCATAATCTTCAACATTGCATCGTTTTTTGTTACTTTTACCAAATAATGGCTTCAAAGACTCATCTTCCATCAACACAGGCAGGTTGAGCATGAGGCCTTTAACAGTTGCCGTACCCTGCAAACAAATCGCAACATTCTATAAGTAACCAGACACGCAACATAACTCTTAATACACATACAAGCGAACCTTACCGTTCTTTTTCTCAAAATATTAAAGGAATCTTTATGCCACACTATACTACGCTTTCCGGGATCTTGAGGTGATTCTTCCCGAATAATTCCCCTTCCCATGTCTCTAAGTAAGTGATGCATAGCCAACCTGTTGTCTTCATTATCGATTTTTACTAGACATCTGTCCACCAGATTTTGAATTCCGATCCTCGTGCGAAAATCAAGGTTGTCCAGTACTGTAATTGCAAAATCCTTCTCCTTTCCAATGAAGAAACAGGCTATATAGAGGAATATATTTTTGTCATGATCATCTTGAAGAGAATCAAAGCTTACTCGAAGAACTTTGTGAACTTTGTCATCGGGAATTTCGCATAACTTCTGTAAAGCACTTTTCCATACATCTACTAGTTTCCCAGATAGAGAGGATCCCAAAACTTGAAGAGCTAATGGTAGCCCTTCACAGTGTTGCGCTGCTGGTCTCGAAAGTTCCATGTAACCTTCAACAGGTTGGGCTTGTCCGAATGCATGCCAACTGAAAAGCTCAAGCGATTCATTCGCATTCAATTCTTCAACCTCGAACATTGTATAATCTTCATGTGCCTTCAACAAATGCTCGTGCCTGGTTGTTATGATGATTTTACTTCCTGGACAAAACCATTCCCGCATTCCAAGAATTGCGTTAAATTGATCCAAGTCATTCACATCGTCAAGAACAATAAGAACTCTCTTGTTACAGACAGCATGTTTGATCTTCATTATCCCTTCATTTATGTCGTATATTTTATTTGCTTTCCCTTTTTGGACGTCCGAAAGAAGTTTCCTTTGCAAGCGAACAAGACCATATGGCTGTTCCGAATTTGTTCTAATATCTGCAAGAAAGCTGCTACCTCGGAACCTTGCACAGTTGAGGTTATAGGCAGCTCTGGCAATGGTGGACTTGCCAATTCCACCCATTCCACATATCACAGCTACACCAACATCATTTGATCCGTCTTGTAACCACATGTTTATGCCTCGCACACGATCTTCTATGCCAACAGGATACGGTGCAACGTTCAATGCTTTGGGATCCAATTTATTTCCAACCTCTTTAACAATATCTTGGATAAACTGCGACTCGTACCTATGAATTATAAATCAGATCAAAGTATAGAAAGCACAATTAGATCATTTTTTTAGTAATTTTTCCTGATGGACCAGAGTGAATAAATTTGATGATGTATCATCCGTTGGAAAAAAAATATATGGTAAACTCCTGCTAATGCAAATTGAATATAGGGTACTAAACAAATGAATCTTTTTAACAAAAATTTTGGCTAATTAATTATATAATACTTTTAAGCATCCATGTCAAAATTAATCAAAAGCTAAAACTTTCAAATTGAAATTTTTCAGGAAAAAAATTAATTACCTATTTCCCAAAACCATCCCTGCCAGATCTGCAACCTCTCTAAGTGCTCTTCTCCACCCGTCCACCTTTTCCATCTCCTCCTTGAAGCGCTCTTTATGTCTATGAAACGATTCTTCAAAACTCCCAGTCTGCTTCCGCACATGGGATGGATCCACATCATAGAAAACCGGCAAAACAAAATGCTCATCATCACTTCTTCTACGTTCCATGATCTTAACAAGTTCGTCCAAGCACCACCGCGATGAAGCATAGTTCTTGGAGAAGACAATTATCGATACTTTTGACTCATTTATAGCTTTATGTAACTCTGCTGCTATATCTTCTCCTCTCTCGATTTCATCATCGTCTCTAAAGGTGTGGATTCCTGCCAACTCCAAAGCCCGGTAGAGGTGATCAGTAAAGCTCTTACGCGTATCTTCGCCTCTGAAACTCAAGAACGCATGATAAGTACATCGGTAAGAGCTTGAAGTGTCGAGCAGCTGCATGGAGCTTATAGCACCAGCCATTGATACTACGTGGAAATGAAGAGATGAACTTTATGCAGGTGTTCTGAGAGGGAAGATATTATGCGCAAATGGAGATGTCCCAACAGAAAAATAGATAAGAAAGAGTGGATCGATGGACAATGACCAAAGTGGCAGTAAAGTCCACTGTCCGCACCAGCTACCAAACGCAGCTACCAAACGCTGTTATGATTCCAATTTTCCACACTGAGATGTGATACACGTTGAAGAGGAATATAAAAAGAGAAATTTTATATTCCTATTATATTTTATCTTATTATCTTAATAAAAAAAATTAATATAAAATATTGACGTCAGTTAATCGTTATCGTACAAAATAGAAGGGCATGAAGTGAGCATCATATCAGAAGGACAAACAATCTGCCTCAGTACAAAAGTCTAATTTTCCTTGAACTTCTTTTTACTGTTTAATTTGGCTTTTTTTTATTTTTTTTTATTTTTTAGAGCAACTCCAATTCCTTAAAAAAAAAGTTGGCCCAAAGTTCATTTATTCCACCCAAATAAATAGTAATTGACTTTAATGAACAGTAATTGATCAACTGTATTTCTACCCCTAAAAAATGAGCTCAGCAAGAGTCTAGTCAATTTGTATTAAAATATTATTTTATTTATTTATAAAATAATACAAATTTATATTATTTTTAATTTCATATATGATTTTTAACCAATCTTGCCAGGTCATATGTCACATCCCGTTCTGAGAATTATGGTATTTTATTCTCATTAGTAGTGAAATTATTAAAATGCCCCTGAGATGCCACATAGGTTTTCCATGTGGACTCAATTTTTCCTTCACTTTTCCACTGTTATTTCACTATTTTCGAATAGTACTCATTTTTACAGACACGTGGCCATAGACAGAACTCAATTCGAAACTATAACGAACAAGTTATGTTCGAAACAATGTAAATTTACCTGAAATAAATTCTAATTATTTCGTGCAGTGTGCACCATTGCCTTGGTCTGGCATGAGAAAGCTTAAATTAGCCTTAAAGCCTTAAAGAGGCTTTGTTCAGACGAACTTCCACCAAATCCACAAATTCGGGGCCTTGAAATTTGATCCAACTGCTAAAGTTATTATAACTTTTAAAAAGGGTCTTGTTTTTAGCTATTAGATCAAATTTCAAGAGTCCGGATTGGTGAATTTGATAAAAGGGATCCGGAGAGGATCCCTTTCCTGTTCAAACCATGTAATAGGAATTTTTACCACCTGCAAAAGTAAGGATAAAAACACTTAAAAAGACTTGCAAGAGTACAAGGTTATCGTAGTATAACAGCTCAAGTAAGGTTGTTTTCCACAGGGATTGAATGAATAATTTATGTAAATATCAAATCTTAATTAATTATTTAAAAACAAAGTTTGGAAGAGGTTGATTTTATGACCTAAAATATTAAAAACGAATTTAATTAAAAACAATTAAATAAATTGGCAAAGTAAAGAAAACAAAAGAAAATAGTTTGAAAATAAATTTGAACACTAGGGTTTCGCTGTCACCTTAACAATACTACGTAATTCTTTCAATTACTTGTGAATTACACATGCATATTTTGAAGGTTAGGTTTTCTTAATATATATATGTTGACCCTAAAAACTACCAAACCTACGTGGCGCGTAGGCCGAGTAACTAATGAGCTAACTACGTCTTTCGGTTGATACAAGACGTGCCAACTCGTTGGCCGAGCTCGACTGAGGAGTAAAATGTGTTGATGTTGCTTTGAGTGCGCTACTGACTTCTTGGTTTTGCAATTGCGGCCGAGGAAGGAACACGTCTCGGCTTTCGGGTTCTAGAGCCTAAAGACAAGGTTGCTAATCTTGCGAAGTTCACAGATCGTCGACGTCGAGTTCAGTCAGAGTGATTATATTTGTAAGAGTATAAGCACGCTGAACCAAACCGACACCAAACTATATGGACACAAGTACTCAAAAGAGATGTATGTCTTGATAGTGAATGTCGTTCGACCATCAGAATGCCGAACACTAAAACCTATTTGTGAATATCCAATCACAAACAACTCCGTGTTCAATGTGCCAAGCCCAATAATCTGTAACACCTCACTTCACTGAGAAGACTAATAAGATGACTTATGCCAATAAGGATTTGAAAATCCTTCTCGATTGAGACTTGGATAAATAATCAGTCGCCCTCGACGTAATGCTGTTTATCCAAACTGAATGTGCTCCGCGGTTGGGTGATTCTACGACAATAGTGTTGTTTATCCAAACTGAAGGTGTCACCAGTTGCCTTCACAATGCTGTTTGTCCAAACTGAAGATGTGTTGGCGAAATAGAAAATAAAAATCTCAAGGTGTTTGAGAGGTTTCTCGTAAAGTAAGAGTTTGCGCAGGCCTTTTGTATGTTAAATTGGAGGGGCTTTAGAATGATGCATCCCCTTCTTATTTATAGCAGCCAATCTCGTCATGGCCGAACCAAAACTATACTCGGATTATGATTCTTCATCCTAATCTAACCAAGTCTCGGCCAATCCTACCTCCATTAGGACTTTGAACCAAACTCTTTATCTAGCCACATTCACTTCTCAAATCTCAACATCCTCATCCCATTGAGACTCCTTGTTATGCTAGGATTCAACTTTCTCATCAATCCGTCTCATACTAGGGCTTGGCCAATCTTAATCGAGCGGTTCATAATAACTAGAATTCGCGACGATTCTAGAATCATACTGTCGAGCTGAGAACTCAGCTCACACCAATATTTTGGGCCCAAACAATATTCTACTTGGAACCTCCAACATAGAACTTATATCTAACATGCAACCCGTCTGTGACATCTAGATCGAATGTGAACATGCAACACTCATTAAGTTTTGTGAAATCCTTTTAAAAAACCATATAACCATTAAGACGTGACATCCATCATAAGAAGTTACACATATTAACCACAAGAAGTTAGCGTCAATTTCAAGGATAGTCCTTCACCAAAATTGCATCAAATTACTTTTCTAAATATCATAATGGTGACCAATCATCAAGACAATTAGATAGTTTCAAACCCGGTGATTAATAATTCAAGACTTGCATGCATAATATCATAAGAAAATTGAAAAGAGATTACATATTTTTGTTAAGACTCGTGGCCTCGTCCTAGCAAACGAAACTAGTTACTAACAATCATAAGACAAAATATTATTAAAAATCTAAATAGAAAATACCTTAAAAATAAACTTAAATCTTCCAAAGTAATGCGTCCCTAAATTTTATGCATTTTCTGTTCCTTGTCTTATGCCTAAAAAGCTTTATTTATGTTACTACAAAACAATATCCTACCTATGAAAGGTCTTCTAAAAACTATGAAACATAATAAAATAAAATAAGTAGGAAATAAAGGGTGTCCTATTTAAATTGAAATTCGGACTTCTCAGAAAATTAGATTTTTGACCAACCAAATGAACTCTGATTTGGTCCCAAAATGTCTCTTTTGAAAGCTAAAGACGTTCCCTACAAATCCTCAGAATGAATCTTCCTCAAAATGTGTCATCTGAACCTTCAAAATACCTAAAACGTTGAGAAACGTCAATTTGAGAAAGCTGTGCGCTGGATCTTTATTTCATTGCCATGATCAAACGGCTTGGTAGAAAAATCTGAAATTTTGACACAATCTTCTAGAAAGACTCACAAACATCCTCCAATTAAAATCATTCCAAAATTCATCCGTTTGATCTTCTTTTACTCCAAAGAAAATTAAATATCTTACATTAAAAATATATAACAATATATCAAAAATTTACTAAAATAGTCAATAAATTATAACTAAGAATAAGATAAAATATATGGTGTAATATGAATTCATAACCATGCATGATATTTGATTATAATAGCGTGCAAGTGGACTATTAAATAAATTTTTCTTTTTTGGTTTGAAAATCCCACTCCACCCATCCAATCCACCAGATTCCATCATTACACCCCATTATTGCATCTTTCCCTCTCTTTCACGCCTCACTCCCTCCCATTGAAAATTTTCCCTTCATTTCAGCCGACCATTTCCTCTCACACGTCACTCTCTCTTCCACTTTCTCCTTCTTTCTTTTCTTTTCATTTGACTCTCTCGTCCCCTTTCCGTCTTCAGAGCTGTCCTAGCGTGGTGGAGGCCCCTAGGGCTACCTACCATGTTATCTATTCCGTAAATAGTAACTACTTTTAATAAACAGTAATTATTTTTTACATTTTTATCCTTATATTTGAATAGCCTTGACAATTAGTAATAAAATATTAATTTTTTATTATAAAATAATACAAAAGAATTTTATTTGTAATTTCGGATAACATTTATAATCGTTCTTGTTGCGCATTATGTCATCATCCGAAAAGACAATTATTGATGATGTATTTCCGATAAGATTTTTAATCGTTTTTGTTGAGCCACATGTCATTATCCGAAAACACAATTATTGGTGATGGATTTTTGATAAGATTAATAAACAATCACATCGCGCCACATGTCATAATATGTTTACAGTCTTTGAGGATAGATTTTCCATCAGATTTTTAACGAATGAAGGCATGCCACGTGGCATTATCTACAACCTAATCCTTTTTTAATCCTCCATATAATCCACTATCAATCCTCACAAATCTCACACCAATGTTCTCAAGATCTCTATCATCATTCATAGTTTTTGCTTCATTCTTCACCAAAATCTTTATCATTATTTTCTGCTTCCTTCTTACAATGTCTTCTTCTTCAAGGATGATGTGGGAAATCGATCAGTAAGAGGAAGAATTGTTTAACCAATCAGAATGAATGTTCAATCTCCAGGTGGCCCAAAATGAGATGGAAGATGATGAGGAGTGTAGAAGGAGAGATGATGAAGCAAGAATGACCAGAACCTCACATTCCCGTCGAGTACGCAACGCAACATCTTCAATTAAGGTGAATAACGTGGACCGTTGGATCTAAATAAGGTTTTAAAATTATTATTACCGTTGGAAATCCAACAGTAGAAAACAAATGACCGTTGAAATCCAATGGACGCCGAGGTGCCACATGGCCTCTAACGGTCACTAATGCAACTGCGCACGCAGGCTCCGTCGATTGACACAAAACAAAAGAAAATAACGTGGCTGACGTCAGCCTTGCGTCAAACCCACTTCGGGCTGGCAACTCTCCACGGGCCTGCTCAGGCTCCCTCGCTAGCACACACTGGACTTGAATGCTCAGGCTCTCAGCCACTGTTCGCGGGCCTATCCTTCGGGCTCCAGCACACGCTGAAGTTACTCTCATGGCACAACAAATGCAGACAGCAACTCGCCGTTGTCCTACAACAGACCATGACATCACCACCATCTCCGCAACCCTTTCATAACTACGAATCCTTTTCTAACTTTTGTTATCTGAAACTTGGACGAAAAACCTTCGAACCAAGGAGCTCTGGCGACTCCTCGGTTTCCCCGAACAAGGTAAGGCTTGAAATCACTCCTTACATTCCATTCATCATTTTGTTTAACTTTATAACCTTGCATGTGAGCTTTGGTTTCACACTTGTGAGTATTTGTGTCTTTAATTGCCTATTAGATTTAACCACTCTTTCCTCATTGTTATATTGGCATTAAAATATAACAACATTAGTACAGACACAATATTAAGTTCTTATAATTTCTAACAAGTAAAATTTGATGCCAATCTTACCCAATCGTTATCATGAACTTCTTGGGTTTAATATGGAATCCTGAACCCCTTACTCTTTTAATATCATATAGGTATGTTCATTGGTTATTATGAATGAGGTGTTAACTTTACTCTCTTGTGTGAAATCCGAACTCCTGCTTGTACGGTTATTTATAATTATTATTTTTATATCACTCGATGCACAATAGGGGGTTGATTATGAAGAGATTAGGTTGTCCATCAGCAGCTAATTTTAGGATTTTTTTTTTAATTTTTTTTACCTTTCTAAAGGGGTTGTTTGAAGGATCAAAATGCAAGATTTGTTGAAGCTTTAGGGCTGTTTGGTATTTTAAAGAAATTAGGGCAGTTTTGCAATTACCTCTAGTTTTAGGGGCAATTTTGTAACATGGGAATTTTGGACAGATTAACTATAATCTCCCCATTTTGTGTACGATTTGTGTGTTAAGTATTTTGTTAAGTCAATGTGACTTGGTATAGGTACAAGCTTATTCGGTTTGACAAATGACAAGGCTTATCGAGAGCAAGCAAGCTATGGTTATGTGAATATATCTTTTTGTTTTTTTGAAGTATATATGTGTATTTGTGATTTTCCCAACTGCTTTTATATATTATGATGTGACATACCATATTTAGTTTTACAAATAAATTTTTCACACACTTCATGTTTTTAATATTATTTGTGAGTATAAACTTGTGGTATGATATCCTTGTGTTTTATTTGCTCATTATTACATGTTACATGTTTGTATGATGTCTCTTAGTTATTTGTATTGTCCTGAGCTAAGGATCAGCTTCACGTGTAGTTCACATGCACTGTTGCATTCTCTTTGGATTCAGAGTTAGGTGTCAGCCTATCTTTTTATGTGATGTTTTGGACTCGTATGTGATGTGACTAGCTCAGCTCATGTGATGCAGTACTAGAATGTAAAACTACACTCAACTTGTTCCACTGTCTTAATATCTCTGCAATAGACTTGTGTGGCTACGTAAATTAATGAGCACTGGTTTCTTGTATGTACGTGTCTTATTTGCGATAGAGATATTGGCAAACCCAACGTTTTGCATACCAGTTGTATTCAAGAAATTTTCAGTCTTACAAATGAAATGAGCGCATCATATATTTTTGAGGTTTCACAAACTAAAGCAATGCAGCCACAGGTTTTACAAACTACTCAAAAGGCTAAAGCAATGCAGCCACGGGTTTTACAAACTACACAAAAGGACTTGACATGAAACCGATCAATTATAAACTTGTGAGCTGGTTTTTGGCCTAATGAAATCCACAAAATCATCCAATGCAGCCGCGGAGCTGGCCGGAAATCCGTCCTCAAACTTCCGCCCTATCTCCAAGGCCCGCCTCTTCACATCTTCATCGCCCATCAGCCTCTCAATCCCTTTCACTATATCTTCTTTCTTAACCAATTCTTCAAAACTTTCACAAACTCCATAACCAACCTTGAGATGCTTTTGCACCAGCTTGGCATTCCAATACTGGTCCCCCCTCATGGGCCACCCCAAAATGGGGACCCCACGGCAGACGGCTTCCACGGTGGAGTTCCACCCGCAGTGCGACAAGAACCCGCCTGTTGACCGGTGGCTCAGAATCAGCAGCTGCGGTGCCCATCCGCATATGATCAGACCCCTCTCCCCCACTCTGCTCTCCAGCCCGTCTGGGTTGTACCCGCCACCCACCCCCAGTTTGGATGACCCAGATGAATGGCCGGGTCGATTCTTCCAGCGCACTCGCCAGTTGGGGATACTCCTCCGCATTGGGACCCACTTCGCTGCCGAAGGCCACGTACAAGACAGACCCGCGTGGCTTTGAGTCCAGCCACTGAACGATGTCGTCTTCGGTGTAGTTCGATTGGCGCTGGTTTGCTTCGACCGGACGGTTCGGGTTCCGGTTCCAGTACGCTTTCCGGCAATAGTGGGCCCACACCCCATACGGGCATCCCCATCTGATCTTTCATGTAGTCGATGAACGCACGGTCGATGAAGTCACACGTGTTGAACATCAGAGCTATGGAGCCTTCTATTTCTGGGACCCAGGGAGGTCGGTCTCCCGGATTAGGCGGACCACCACCACCACCACTTCTTCCTTTTCCTCCTCCACCTCCCGGAGGCGGGTTCGGAACGCCACGTGGAGGACCTGCTGGCCTTCGTTTAAGATCGGCAATCGAGAGAGCCATGTGGTTGGGCAGGCCGGGAATTGGTCGGAGCTCGTCGGGTCGGATGTCACCAACACCGACTTTCCATGAGCCCCACTCGATGGAGGCAGCGGACGCACCAAAGGTGAAGAATCCGATGACCGGCACGTGGAATCTCCAGAAGACCTCCTTGGTCCAACCCATTTGAAAGTCGACGATGGCGCAGAGAGGGAGGGACGCGTCGGGAATATCGGAAAGGCTGGCGAGGTGGTTGTGGAGGTCTTGTGTCGCTTGGTAGCGGAGCGGGTCGGGTCCTGGATTGGGTGGGCCTGGGGAGGCTGTGAGTTGGAGGATTTTGGCGAGGGGGTTTTGGGTGAAGGAGGAGGAGGAGGGGATGACGAGGGTAGTATGGTAATTGCGGGAGATAAGGTGGTTGCAGAGCTCGCGCAGGGTTGGAGATGGCCACGCCCAGCTGCTGAAACCACAAAAATCTCACCGCCATCCGCCATCGCCATGTATAATAGAAGAAAAATGGTGAGGATTTGTTAGTTATACAAGAACTAGACAGTTTTCAAAGTGATATGTAGATGTTTGACTTTCAGCTTTAGACTACCAGTTTTCAAGGTTGAAGGGCTTTACCATGATGGGTGCTAAAACATTCTTTCCAACCTTCAAAGAAGGTGATCCGCAAAGAGAGGCCCAACGGACCATATTTGAAGAAACAAGCAACTTGACTGCTGGAAAGAGGGATGCGCTTGTCCCACATCGGCGGTGAAGGTTGGTTATCAGTTCTTTATATAGAGAAGCTAGGCAACAAGGCTTGTCCCTTCGGGGACATCCGATAAAATTGGAACGATACAGAGAAGATTAGCATGGCCCCTGCGCAAGGATGACACGCATAAATCGAGAAATGGTCCAAATTTTTTTTGCACTTTTCCCGTGAAATTGAATTGGATTCAGAAGCTTCTTTTCCTTGTTTGTTCTTTGTTTTCTCACCATTTTGGCGTCAAATGGAATGCAGATTTGAGTTTTAGAGGTTGGGAAGTAAGCAAGCATCTTTGACGGCTCATATTCCAGGTTTGCCTACTAACTGTTTGAGAAAACGACTTTGTTACTGTGTTCCGCTAAAGATTATTAAGCATATATATATATAGTTTACTGTGTCCCTTAGTATTTCTCAACGCATATGGTAACGAAGATAGTGTATATATTACAATTGCAGATAATGTATGTATAATAGTTACACATATTTTAAGGAAATTAATCTCAACGAACAATAATATCTCTGCATTTTTCATTAACATGCATTGAAGGAAGAAACAGAAATCTGGCCATAACTGAGCACAACCCAAGAAAGAAGGAACTTGCTTCAACTTTGAAGTGTAACTATGTAAAAAGAAAAACAAACACTTTCAGTTATATTTTAACCAGACATTACTTCTTTTGTCCAAAATCCATGATCATCTCTGTTTAATTCTTAACTTTGACAGGAGTTATTTAACCAATTCATGAAATGATCACAAACCAGATCATTTAATCAACTTGGTACATTTTCGAAAGATGACTTTCGATGCTAGCCTGAAACTTGGCAATAAGTTTGCCTATAGACGGCCAATTATCTTTGATTATAGGAACATCTGCAAAAGTTGCCGCCCATGCTGATAACAATGGAAACTCTTCTTCGGTCACCATTTTCATATCTGCTACGTCTTCAAACACACTCACATAGTGTGCGAGCCATCCAAGTGCAATATCCGCAAATCCAAGTTTCTCTCCGCCAAAGAATTTCTTACTGTTTAGCTCTTCTTCCAGGTACTTCAAGTTTTCCTTGGCTTTTACGATAGCTTCATCTTGCTCTTTCCCTTCCTTCATAAAGGATTCCCCAATAGATGGCAAAACCTTCATAGAAATCACAACCAAACTGAATAATCAAATATCAATACTAAGAATGCGGTTTTCTTTCCTTATTTTTCAGGTAAGTAATGATGGTTTGGTTTAGCTACCTGATGTACTTTCACTCGATGTTTTATTAATTGTGCAAGAAACTATCCGATTATGAAAGGCTAGTTTAGATTACCTTCTCATCACCATATCTGGCCCAAAAGCGTGCAGTCGCTCGCTTAAGAGGATCTTCCGGCAGTAAGGGATCCTCCTTCCAAGTTTCGTTGACATATTCAAGAACTATGAGTGATTCAACAACTGCATTTCCATTGTGCAGGAGCACTGGAACTTTCTTATGAATAGGGTTAGACTGAAGAAGTAAAGGGCTTTTGTTTGAAAGATCTTCGTGGATTGTTTCATACAGGACGCCTTTGAGTTGTAGTGCCCAAACTATTCTCAGAGAAAAAGGTCTGGACCATATCATAAAGAGCTTCACTTTTGCCATTTTTGTTCGTAGTTTGAGCTATCTTGTGCTAGGCAAGCAGGCCTTTTATGCTTAACTTTCAGTGTGGAATTTTGCTATGGCCTCCCTAGAGTTTGTTGTATTTATTATTGAAGCCTTCTATATTGTCAAATATGAATTGCTTTCTGAATCTGTTACATATTTTGCATGTAATTGACATGATGATGATTGGATTTGTGTGAAATTAGGAAAAATATGGGGGAGAAAGTGAGTGGAGAGAAAAAGAGAGAGGTTTTTGTGTGAAATGAAATGAGATTGAGTTCTGTGATGTAACCAAAGGACATAGGGTTCTGTTCGTTTTCTTCGGAGTGTGGGACGTTTGTTTTGGTCCAACCCTCCAAGGTACCGGCTACGTAGAGATGCCCCTTTGAAATATTGGCAATCAAGTTAGACCTTGAGTTGAAACAATCCAATACAATAGGTTCATTAAGTGTCCTTCGTAAAAAATAGCTAGGTGGATATATATGTTGGATTAGGATTTGGAGACACATTTTTTACACTAATTTGTATAGTCCATCTCGTAATGTATTTCAACGATCCAACTCTTTGCAAAACTGTATTCGTCCATTTTCTTCACGACAAATAAATGTGTTAATAATTTTGGGTTTGCTAATTTTTAGCAAGTATGATTTATGAATGATAAATTAAAATATAAATGATTCGGATTATTGAAATAAGTTATTGAGTAGACCCTAAGAATGTGTGTCAAAAAATTGTGTCCCCAACATGTATAGGGAGTAGCCCAACATTTTATAAGAACTTGCACGATTTCTTCGTTCACCAATGTCAGACTCTTTTACCTTCACATTCTCGTATGTGTGGCGAATTTTCAAGTCAAACACGTAGACAACACGGATTGGGTGACTGTGGAGCATATGTTGCTGTTGGGCTTCACACATGGATCAACCTGCTTTGATACCATGAAGAAATTGAGGGTTCCACCATATAATCAATTGATTATATGAAGAGTAGTCCAACCTCTTATAAGTCTCTTACAATGTTTCTCTTTTCACAAATGTAGAATTCTTTTACCTTCATGTTGTCACAATTCCAACCCACGCACACATATATATAATTTCTGTTTTTCATAATTCTTTTAATGAGTCAATTTAAAATTGACCACAATTATACTTACGGAGGTGATTTTCAAATATCCTTATTATCTTCTCACATATATATATATATATATATTTATTCTGATAATCAAATTGAATAAATCAAACGAAATGAACACACGAGATTAAACAAGAATGCATTTAGAGACTGATGGGTGCATATTTTCATATATATATATATATATTTATCATATATTTCCTTTGGATTTTGTATATATGAATGGGTTAAATGCACTAATGTATATTGTTTTATTTTCTAGGCATTCAATACGGGAGTTAAGTGAAAAGGAAGTGGAAAATGGAGTTTCGGGTGTCTATAGTAATTCCATTGGAATTCCAATGGAATACGAGGCTAACTAGTTGCGCAAAGACATGTGCATACAATAACAAGATGAAACTGAGCAGTTTTGTAGATCAAATGGACATGGGAATGCTATTCAATGGACTTTAGGAGAGAACTTAATTATTAGTTTTATTATTTCCGTTAATTTTTCTTTTCTTTAATGAGGACTTGAAAGTCCATTACGCTAGGATTAATGGTCATTTTAATTGGCCTTGGTAACCTTCGCCGTAGGTTTTATATGTGGAGATTGATTCTCCATTGTGAAGTAAGGATTCAGCCACCAAAACAAAACCAAAACTCATATATTCTACATGGGGGGCAGCGGCAAGGAAGGGCAAAGAGGAAGTACATTGGAGTTTTTCTTTGATAGGGCTACGATGTAGCCTAATCATGAATACTTAATTGCCTTGTGGCATTATTATTATCAAGTTTTGCATCTTTATTGAGTATCTTTTGCTATTCAGTAATGCGTTTGATTTTTATTTAGATGCTTGATCACCATCTAGGTTTAAATTAGGTTGACTTCATGCAAGTTAGAGTAGATGCCATACTTAACTTGGGTTTAGCTTCTTGCAATTGATACCATAACCACGTATTTGTAGATGCCATACAATTAGGGTTTTGTGTGATTTTCCAACAATTTCCATAGAGCTTAATGGGTTCTTACTTGTTTAAATCCATCTAGATGCCATAGAGGGTTAACATGTAAGGATAATTTTGATGTAACCAGATGCCATGGCTGTCGAATAATTTAGGGAAAATCGATCATCAATATTAGGGAACTACTTGAGCATAACATATTAAGGGAATTAAGTAGGATTGGTTAAGGTGAACTCGGATGCCCTAGATCTTCTTTTCTCATGTTTTCAATTTATAATTTCCATGCATTTTATTTTCAAGCTTTATTTTATTTTAGTTTAATTTCAAAGTTTCATATGTTTTCCATTAAACTTCTCCACTATGATTTGTTTCAATTTAGAGGGGTGTAGTCAAACTCGGATTTAAGAGGATTTTAAAAGACTTTAAAATCCTAGTGTAGTCAATTAAAAGATTTTAAAGGATTTTAGAATTCAGTCAAATCTAGGTGCAGTCAATTAAAAGATTTTAAGGGATTTTAAAATCCATCCAAATCTAAGTGTACTAAAAAAATTAAGATTTTGGAGAATTTCAATAAGTTGTGGATTTTGTGGGATTTGAGAGCAAGAAGTATATATAACCAAGACTAAAAAGAATCCAACCTCACCCCCTAGGTTTTCAAATCCTTTTCCATTTGGGCAGTCCTCAAATCTCTACCAACCCCAGCCACACACAGGTAACCACCATATACTTTGGTGGAATCGCTTATTATGACCCTTAAACCTTAATTAGGCATGTATGATCATCGAAGGACATGATCGATCTAGGATTTTGGTTAATACTACTCTCTTGTCATTCTGATTTTTTAATGTCTGTGGTACTACAAGCACTATTGAAGTACCACATCGTACGTCTATGGCAAAAAGGTAGTCGGTGGTGATGGTTGTTAGTGGTGTGGTGCTCAAAACAGCTCACCAAAGTTATGTCGATCTATCAATTGAGAAAGAGATTGAGCCATGGTTGTGTGAAAGGGGACCCGAATAGGGAGGGGATAAAGTGGCTATTGAGTACACTAGGGCAAGAGCAGTGTTCTAAAAATCGGCCTAGGCAGTGAAGTGCTGCTACGATTTGGGCCAAATCGTCCAGTTGAATCGAGTAGGAGTTAGGCACCTGCCTAGATGCTCTATAGGCGGTCTAGGCGGCCTAGAAGGCAACCTAGGCGGTGGCCAAGGTGGTAGTTTTTTTTTTCTGGCGAATTGACTCTCTGGTCTTCAGTGGTTATTGGCATCTTATCTTTCGTTTCCAATCGGTGTTGTATCTTTAGCAGAAAATGAAAGATCTAAAGAGAAGAGGGAGGATGAGAGAGAGAGAACAGTTAAGGGTGCAAACTTGCACCACATCGGAGGAGGGAATTTATAGAGCAAAAGAATGATAGAAGATGAAGAAGTGAGAGAGGAGGAAGAAGAAACGCTAAAAAAAAAAAAAACCAAAATATAGGCTTTTAGCTTTCCAATGCATCAAATGTGTTGGTGCGTGTATCCCGACACTTATTATTCAATTGCTTTTAATTTTTTCACATTGTGTCTGATATAGATTGAGGGTTGGGTTATGTGAGAAAGGTTGGGAACTGTGGCATGAATCTTTTGGTGTGGTTCCACATATTGGAACCTTGGATGATGTGGAGGAGGTTAGGTGGAGGGATTTTAAAAAACATTAAATACTAATTTTCTTCAAAATATCTTATTTTATTATTTCATTCTAAAAATTAAATTGTGTCGTTTCGGAAATCCTAAATAGAGATGGGGATTTTTTGAGACTTTCCTTTCATTAAGACCACACCATACCATGCTTAAAACTCTAACATCACATATACCATTCTTTAAAATAATAATAATAAAAAAGAAATAACATATTTTTCGTGTTTATTTTTATATCATATGGTAAATTTAATTATTTTGTAATAAATATACTTAAATCCGCCTAACCCGCCTAGACGCTAGGCCCCAGCTTACTGCCGGACTAGCGTCTAACGTTTTTTAGAACCTTGGGCAAGAGGAAAGATTTTTCCTTTTTTTTTTTTCAATAAAAAAATTATATGAAAATCTACCACAATCCACCAAAATCTACAAACTAAATCCATTCAAATTCTTTAAAATCCCTATGAATTTTGTAGGAGTCTTAAATCCTCCTAAATCCTATCAAATCTATCACTTTTAAAATCCTTTAAAATCTTAGTTTGACTACACCTTAGTTAGTAAGATTTTAGAATCAATTCGATCTCTATGAGATGATATTCGTGCTTATATGCTATATTGTCATTTGATTCGTATAATTGCAAGTGCTAAAATTTGAGACTTAATGAGTTTAATTTTTGTTATCTAACTTATGTAACAGAGACTGAAAGAGGCATCTGTCAATTTATCATTTCCTGTACACTTATGAACCCCTCTAGTTTTGGGTACGTAACCCAATTCACCCTTCTCTCAGTTGATTAAAAGCTATTTTAAGGGCCATTGAGTGGGCCTTTTTAAAGGCCATAAATAAATGATCCAAACTACAGTCGAGTCTGAGCCCAAACCAAACTTCTTGGCCCAAATCTATGCGAACTGTGAAGAGCAAGAAACTTTCTGAACTATTATTCTCCCCAGCTTCTCTAATTTTTATTTTGCGGACCAGTGTCGGAGAAGACTGAAGAACCACAAAACAGACTCAGAGATGGCAGCTGTTCCGCCGTCATCGTTTAAGGCAAATTCTAGCTCTTCCGCGGCGGCGGACCCCAAACTCGGTCTCTTGAAGCAGATACGGAGCCACGAGGTCGCAATTGCAGAGCTCGGTGCTCTTTCATCTTCCCGGGTAATATATATATATATATATATATATATATATATATATATATGATTTATTTCGAAACGAAAAACCAAAATTTATTGTATATTTTGTTTATTTGGTCAATTAATTCTTGTAATTTGATATGCAATAACAGAGTTTTGTCGATTTCTATGCCCTGCCTATCATCCGTGCTAAAAATTTCTATCCTTTGTGAGCATGTGTTTGTTTTTTCTTCGTCGAAAAGATGATATTTTTTTTTTTCTAAACTACTCTTATTTACGGAGAAGAAGATTCGAAACCGGGTGCAAATGGCCAATTGGCCTAACTCATGTCTGCGTAAATGTTAAATTTTGCGAAATTGGTACTTACATTTTAAAGTTCTATGATTTTGTTCATGGAAAACTCTAGCTAGAAGTAACAGATAATAGCAATTAGGCTTGCATTGATCTTCGCTAATAGCAATTTAAGTACAAGCTCAACTGCCAATTGCGCTTCTCGTCATCTTGTTTGGTTGGAGTGCCTTGTTAGTTTACAGAGATGTAAATATACTTTTTTTTGATCACAGGGTGTCTATCAGAAGAATGGCAACTTGTTTTTTCGTACAACAATCGAGAAAGCATCGGCATCTGAACAAAGTAACAAGTTTTGCATCAAATCTATGGTATTTCTCTATTCGTTTAAACTTTAAGCAGCCAAAATGATTTTCTTCTTGATTGTTTATTGTGCAGAACAAATTGATTTGGCTAAAGCAAGACTAGGAAATCTGAATTCTTCTTGATATGACTTTGTTTGTGATGGTTATAGTTCGACAGCCTCTTAAGGTAAAATGCCTACCAAGTGTTGTATTTGAATGATAAAGATAGACGATTCCTTTTTATCATTACCTTTCATTGGGCTAATGATGGCTTGAGTGCTTACCATGATCCTGTCAACGAAAGAGTCCTTTTTCTATTACCTTTGACTGACTTCTGCCTCTGTTTGCAACATGCTTTTCCATGCATTTTATTTTCTCTCTTATCTATTGCTTACGACAAATTAATTTTTTGCTGTTTAAGGAGAATTATAGGAGAAACTTTCAAAATGATGTGTTTTTGTATCCGTATACAAAGTAGTCTTAAGTGTCAATTCTTGTCAATTTTTAAAAATAAAACAAGTACACTGTTGGTGGGTAAAATGCCAACCCAGGAACACATTAGTAAAGAAAAAGATTGGTATATACTCTACCTCAACGAATATAAACCAAGACATATGACTCAGAAAACAGCTGCTTTCCAATCAGCTAAAATACTAGAGAGAATGTTCCAAATCTCAGAAACACAGAAGCCCAAAGGGAAAGCTAAATTCTGAGTGAGTTTTGTTCCTTTTTTATTTTCCATATGGCTGAATAGGGGTAAATGATTAATATATATATATATATATATATATATATATATTATAAGCTGATATATCAAATCTAGTTCGATTTTGATGAGTAAAGAAGGATTATGGGGACCTAGAAAACTTGTTCCTGGCCAAAGTTTGTTGAAAATTGGTCATGTTTTTCTTTAGGCTACAGGAGATAATGGGGGTGGTGGCAATTGAACTGAGAACCATGGGTGCATGGGGTTAACGCTCTTAACTAACTGAGGAACAAGCCTCTTGCAAGAAATGGTACATTTTCAAAGAAGAGAAATTGGGTAGAGTCAATAGTTACAGAACTGTCCTCAATATAACATAGAGAATCACGAGGAGTATGCTTACCAGAAGATAATGATAGGGGGTTTAAGTTTCTCAAATGGATACAAGGGAAGTCCTTGTAATATGGACACACCACGAATGGTGTATCTGATATCAGCTCAGCATCAAGTAAACATTATGATTTGAGTATGTCTTGATGTCCAACTGGTTTATTGAAATATTAAATTTTCATCTACATGTAGGTAAAATTTGGTTACAATGTTTTAATTAACAACTCAACCAATATAAAATTTGTTAGAATGAAAGCTACAACTAACCTTTATAGTTGTCCACGTATCCGTCCAAATCTTGTATTCCTCTCATAGGTTTAAATTTAATCAAAGTTTTCAATTTTTTTAACGGGAAGAGATTATACTCCTTTGAGCTTTTCGAATCAGAAGACTAAAACTAAGATTTAGCTCGAAAATTTGTTGTTTAGAGACTTTTGTCAGTCAGACTGACCTTTTCTTGCAAGGACACAGCCCTTTGGGAAATTATTGATAATGAATGATTTGATACTTTAATTGGTGCTGTGAAACAGGATAATGAACGGGTGAACCGCTTCTTGTTGCAGACTCCTATTGGCTTTGGAGTTTACAGGACTCTTTTTCTTTGCTTTTGGTACCCCATCGACACTGCTCATTGTTTATTTCTGAAATGTCAGTTTCTACCATGGATATTTTGTAGAAGAATAGTTGTGGCAACTTTAGGAGAGGGGCGTTATGTCGTAGATTTTCCTTTCCTTTTCTTTTTCTGTAGTACGTCTGTAATTTTGCTCGTACATTGTGTTCATATTTTTTAGATAACCATAATTATCTATCGTTTCGCCAAAAATGCATCGTTTTGTATGGTAAGAGTCCAGATTTGAATGATTGGCTTTGGTAATTGGCCTTTCATAATCTGAAACCTATTCCTACTGAGACACTTTGACAACATACACCGAGCAAAAATCGAATCGGTAAAGAGTTATCTGGTCGGAACAAGATATTCCCAAACACCAATCCATCGGTTGGCTAGCACCAACTGCCAAGGGACTGCAGAGTTTGGGGTTAAGGAAAGGTAACGATTTTGGCACCAATCCATCCCTTTAAATTGGCATTCCTCGCGGACAAATCACGCGTGCAAACATCTTTCTTTTTGTGCATTGGATTACAAGTTGCGAGTAAAGAGCAATGACTCCTTACGAGTAACGAGTCAAGCAGTGTTCTTAAAGAAATTTCGTGGCAGTTACAAGGACAAACTAAAACGGTTAACTTCCAAAAAGATTACTCTTTATATATGAGAAGTTCAAACACCATTCTCCCTTTACATTATTGGAAACCACACACACCCAGATTGTCTATATGATAAAGTCTGCCTGAATAGACCATAGAAGGATTGAACTGAGAACAAACTTGTGGCTAATCGAACTCCTGGCGCGCTTGCTGAAACAACAGGACAGTAAGAGTTATAAGGGATGCATAAACTGAATTGGGTAACCTTTGCACGACCTTTCCGACCCCTGGTACGCCCTCAGTAGCTCTCTTCGTCGCCATTGCCACCGCTGGTGCTGCAACCAGTGTGAGGATGAGTCCCTGACTGACTACAACGAACGTCTCTGCTGTCAACTGCTTGATGAACTTCGCAAACTCTTCCCGGTCAATTTCTCCGTCAAGATTGAGATCATTTTGCTGCAAATATCAAGGGTAAACATTATTAAACGAATCAAACGAGTTTCTCTGAAGGAAAGTCGTTGATTGAACATTTTCTAAAAGAGAATAACGAGCTCAGAGTCTCCCGACGGTTTTTATAGGTTTTCTGAACGAGACACCTTAGACAGATTCTCAACGTGGATTCTTGCCTAACAAACAGCAGCAACAACAATCTTCCTTTGTATACAAACAGCAGAAACTTAAACAACCAAAGTCGACAAACACAGTTTCCATCAATGTCCAAACACCATCCAAAATTAATCCCATGTTTCAATCACATTTCCTGAACTAGGGAATTGCTAATGAGACATGAACGATACTTAACTCACAAAATTTTATAGCATCCGACCTGACATGCACACCGCAAACGACAATCAACCTTCTCATCATTTCATGCCTTCAGGCAAGATATCTCGACAGAAATTTAAAATATAAGTAGGCATTAGAAACAGTTTATGAAAGAGGTTCCCTTTTTCAGAGAACTAGCCAGGTGAAGACTTTCTTCAGTGCCTCGGCCAACAGGCCTACTGAAACAAGATGAATTTTGCAGCCAAACGGACTTATCTTCAAAGTTTCTAACATCTAAGTGCTTAATCGGAACAAACTGAACTTCGGTAATCAGAAGATGAAGAAACTTAAAGTCTAAACAGAGCAGAATAAATTGGTTGCGCATATAGAACCTCAAACAAACCGGTCACATCCTGCTAAACCAGACTACGTCAAGGACTGAGAGTTGCTTCTCTCTGACCACAGCAACTTAAACGTGTATCAGTTCATTTTCCATGCATAAGATAAAAGGTATGGTATATTGGTCTAGCTGTCAGAAGTTTAGAATTGAAATTTACACACCAAAGATACGAATGAAAGGTACATCGCTTGCGAGAGTAATTACTAATTACTCACTGTGCTCAAAAGATTGAAAAACTTATAAGAATATGTGCAGATAACTAGCTTTCCATAACCGAAAACAAAAATTGGATCACGAATCTTATTTGCCTAATACTGGGGACTACAACTACAACTTGACTTTTGCAGCACAGCACCTTAACTCAAGAAACATAACAGATGTACATGAAATCCGCTGCTAAATTGGATACATACCATTGAAATTTCAAAAGATATTATCCTATTTGTAAATGGTTTGAGTCTAACAAATTTCATTTCAACCGTTTGATTGTATCCAACGAAAAAAACTAGAGTACCTGCATCATAGCTTTGACTAGATCTTTGGAGGGTGGATCAAAATGCGGGCCGGGTAAACGCTTATTGATATCACTAGAACAGGAAGATTAAACAACAATCAGCTAAAATTAGCAGCATGATTTAACAATCAGTTAAAAAGACAATCGGAATACGTTTAGCACGAAAAGCTCCTCACTTGTACACAAGTAGTACACCGATGTACAGATCCTCAAAATTCAAGCTAGCCCTTCCTGTCTCATTTTTAAAATGATCAAACACCTTATCTGTAATCCTCCTTATTTGCTTTCGCCTCCATTGCTTACCTGCAATCCAGAAAAGTATCAGATACCTCATAAACATATATGTAATTAACGGTTGCTTCATGTCCGGTACCTGTAACATAACATGGCAGACTGTCTGTGCCGACGGATATCTACAAACTTACTTACGGATAATAATGCTATTTTTCGATGTCGCATAGAGAAATATCAAATTGATGATATCCATACACCATACTATAAATTGATACATAAAATCCAGTACAAGAACAAGATAAATGGAAACATGGGTATTCAAAAAGGTAACTTTCAGCTGGATCACCAAAACAACTAACACATGAATCCACAGTTCAACATCATTTGCAGATCCTACAAGTTTTCAAGGATGGAGATTGGAGAAGGCATCTAAACTAAAACTACAGATTCAGAAAAGGAAGAAAAAGAAATAAAACCCAACAGAAAACAGGGAAAACTCAGAACCGGAAAGAAAACATTAACACGATGTCGAAGGAATAGAGTTGTACCTTGTAATCTGTCGAGGATCTGTCCCATGGCGCAGTAGTGAGCTCAGTACAGAGATTTTTGCGAGTTGGTTGGATGATAAGTTGAGAATCAGAGAGTAAGAGGAGGTGGTGATCCCTTGGCATCGGAGATTTGTTTTGACTTTTTCAGGCAGCGTAATCATTACGACAAGGTCCACTGTGTTTGAGACACTTGGACCGTGCAAAGGCCGCCCCGGACAAAATAAATAGGGTTAATCTTAGTTTACTACTATTAAGTTTTACAAGGTTTTTAATATTTTAGTTTCAGTTATTTAATTATTTTAAAATTTTTTAATATCCACGTGGTGCCCATTTATTGTCCATGTAGGCGTCACATCATCAGTTAACAGTTGGTTTAACAGCAACCTTAACAGATATATAAAAGTATCCCAAGATTATAACTTTAGGTACCACTCTGGAATGAAAAAAAACTTTATATACTAAATGTTGAAAACTATAAAACTTCAGGTAATAAACTGAGATTAACCCAAATAAATATAACAAATAAAAATGGATAACTTGCCAAGTATTTTAAGTTGGAGGTTTTACACGAATTTGATATCTAATTATTAACAGTTATTATGCTTCGGTACTCAAGAATAATTTTATGTTACGGATGTTTTAACTATTAGATATAATTTGCATAACCATTAATTTTTTTTTTAATTTCATCTATTAATTTTTTGTATGAATAAGTGCTACGTATCGTTAAAAAAAATTGCATTTTCTCATTATTTTCTATTACATACCAATATAAATATTTTATATGAAAACAAAAACAAGTTTACCAATGAAAAACAATAATGAAGCACAAATAAAACTGTTTTCCGGCGCTGAGTCGAACCAAGAAGTCAAGCATACAGTAATTCCAAGTTTTGATTTGCTACAACTAATGAGTGATGATGAATGTAATATAAAAATATATTGGTCTAATCGGATAAACGGTTCTCATGGTGATAAGTTAATCGAAAGATGGGCTCGTGGTAAAAAAAAAAAAAAAAATTAGGATTTAAACCCTCGTGATGTAGTCTTTTAGCAAATTTAGTCCAAAAGTGATTGTTCGTCAAATGTCTGTTAAATGTAGAGGTATAAATGTACTTTAACGTGTGCATCTTCTTCTTCCTCGTCTCTTTGCTCTCCGTAATTTGTTCACTTTCTTCTATTTCGGGATGCTGTATTTTGCATATCTTGCATGTCAGCAAGCACATAGATTGCTTCAACTGGACCAGTACATGGGTTCCGTAATTTGCTCCGTCCACCACCCTGCTAGTGTTCACAGAGGAAGGTCTAGTGTAGGAAGTCACCCTACAAGCAGTGTTGGACTGAAGAATTTATAAGCAAAGGAATGCTGTTAGAGTTTAGGCTTTGGTGCAGCGGCTTGGTCAGACAACAGAAGCAGCTAATGGTATGAATCTGTGATTATCTTGATCACAATTAGTAATGTATTAGTAGATTAAATAATAAGTATTAGTTGAGCGATCAATTATATATGAGCTCATGCTCTTGGATGTAAGCAACAAATATATTTTACAAAAGAAATTATATACAAAAAAATAAATTGGAGCTATGCTTCTTCCTTCTGTCCTCGTCTTCCATTGCCATTGATTCTGCAAATTAGAGTTGATTGGATCATACTATTTATTGAGAGGCTCTTCGGACCCACTTACAAAAAGGTGAAACTTTTGGTTGATTTTTGTTTAAAGTTATAAATTTTGATTGAAAATCTGAAGCGGGTTTTGTGTTGATATTTGTGGGTTTGCATGATGATTTTATTTTGAGGAAAAAAGTTGGGTGAAAGTGCTTTTGGAGTTGTTTAAAGAGTTTCATTGGCTAACAAGAAGCCTTCTTCCAAGTTAATAAAGTAATTAATCAATTCAATCTCTTTACATATTTTTGAACAATTTTTGATTAATTTGTTTGTGCAATTTTTTGAGCTGTTATATTGAAGAATGTACATGTTATGGAATGAATGTGGTGCGCTAACGTGTTGATTTTAATTTTTAATAGAAAGAAGGTGACTTGGTGTTAGATAAGGCGACTGATTATGGTGCAGTAGAAATTTAGATGAACGATCATGTGCGAAGAGCGTGTGCAAAGAGCTATGCTAATTTATGTTTGGCTTTCTTGAGGTGTTCCTCTATAATACAAAATACAATATACCGAAATGGAAAGAAAATGAAATACAAAATTATAGAAAGAGAGAGAGAGAGAGTTGAGAGATGAGAAAGAAGATTGTACACACGTTAATGTACATTTTCTCCTATATTTAACAAAAAAATCACTTTTAGATCAAATTTACTAACGGATTACAACATGAAGATTTAAATCTTAATTTTTTTACCATAGAGACTACTTTCTAATTACCTTGTCACCATGAAGATAGGATAAGCCAAATATATTTACACACATTTGGAGCAAAAAAGTAAAATAAAATGACACACACCAGAAGATGTTCGATTACGAAATGACACAAGGGGAGGGAAGTCCATAGGCAAGGGCCCATAAACATATGAAAATCTTCACATATATATATAATAAATAAAATAAAAAATAAAAAATGATGGTTTTTTTTTTTTAATCCTTAACGATAAAATCAACTAGTTCAGCATTTAATAAATTTTATTTAAAAGTTATGTCAGTATGAAAAATAATGTAAACACATATAGTAAGATTTAGAGTTTTTATCACAAATGGTTTCTGGAATTGGTCCTCAATATCAAGATGGTCTCTAAAATTAAAAATCAATCAATGTAATCCCTAAAAATAGGTGTTGCAAATCAATATTGTTTTTCCGTCACAATTCCATTAAAATTTCATTAAGTGCTAATGTGGCATAAATTGACCCCACAAGATTTGCGGGTTTTTATCACGAATGATTCCTAAAATTGACTCAAATCATCAAGATGGTACCTAAAATTGAAAATCGATCAATGTAGTCCTTGAAAATAGGTGTTGCAAATCAATATAATCCTTCCACCACAATTCTGTAAAAAAAAAATTTGTTATGTGTTGATGTGGATTTAATAATTAATTAAAAAATTTGTCTAAATACTTTTTTGCACAATGGAATTTTTTTTTCTTATAGTAGGGCATATTGCGAAGAGAGATCTCTTCCATAAATTCTCAAAGGTACAAGACATAATCCAGGCCTATATGGAAATATTTTCAACCAACAATAGATGCACCTCGGTCATAACCTCATTATCTCAAGGCAGACATCGTCGTTCTTTGGATCACCAAACCACCAGGAAGTGCCGAACAAGCTCTCTAAGATTAAGGTTGTGAGGAAGTTGATCGCTTAAATATCAACGGTCATGTCCCATAAGTTGTTGCCAATCGGCCAAGCCGTCACCAAATGTGATATCTATCCAGGTTCAATTAGGTGAAGGTGTCGAAGTGTGTGAAGATAGGTGTATTGAGATTTTTTTTTTTGAGAATAGGGAGCGAACGAGGTAGAGAAATGTGGACTAGGATCGGAGATGATTGCCGAATTGGGTTTTTTGGTTGACAATTTTTATTAACTATTAAATTATTAAGCCTATTTGTAATTGTTTTTAGTTTAATTAGACTTGTGTGACCATTTATGTGTCAAATCAGCATATAACAAAATTGTGACCGAATGACTACATTGATTTGAGACACTTACTTGCAGGACTACATTGATCAATTTTCAATTTGAAGTACCATTTTGATGTCGTAGGTCAATTTCAGGGATCATTTTGATGCCGCAGATCAATTTCAAGGATCATTTGTGAGAAAAAATGACTTATGTGGCAGGGCCCTATTTATGTGCCATATCACCACTTAACATGATTTTTAACATAATTGTGACAAAATGATCACATTGATTTGTGATATCTATTTTCAAGGACTACATTGATTGATTTTCAATTTAAGGATCATCTTAATGGTGATGATCAATTCTAAAGATCATTTGTGATAAAAAGTGGAGGCAACGATGATGCTAAATGTGGGTTGTCGTGGTTGGAGGTGTAAACACATGTACTGTTTTCTCCTGAAAAGCAAACCACTCTACTCTAAAGCAGAATTAACAACATTAACAATCATTGGATTATCACCAAAGACCTCATATACCATCAACAACAATATCCGTCATACAAAAAATGACTTTTCTTTATAATTAAATAGTTCCGTAGTAATTAACAACAAACAAATGAAACATGATTTGTATCAACTTTCACACAAAATAGAGAATAAGATAGATTTTACAAATCTTATTGTTGTTAAATTAATTTGAATTTTGGAATGATATATGAATTGAGGGACCGACGGACCGTTGTGAGAAGAGAATATCAAATGTTTATTAATTTTATGTCATATAAATATAATAAATATGTTAGAGTTAATGGTGCTATGTAACTGACAGTTCCAATTTGGAACATGAAAAAATAGGTTTGAATTTGTTGAATACTGACCAATAAGAGGAAGATTGTAAATGAAAGAAGTATATAGGAGGAGGGTTGCACAAAAAAGTCAGGATTGCAAATAGTTTTTAGTAAAATTCCAAGTGCTTGAAAACCCCATTAGTTGCATCTCCAATGTATGATTCATTAAAGTTAGGCATACAAAGGACAAACATGTCTAACATAGTGAAGTGCAGGTAAATTTTCATGGCCCTGATGGAAAATGGTAGTGATTAAGAAGCCATGGTTAACCTTCCGTTGCTTGTGTTGAATTGCGGTATGTTTACTTCTTGAGGAAGAAGATGGTACTTTATGCCAAGGTTTTGGAAAATTTTCTTTAACTCGAACACAAGCTCTGATCTTCGAGCACTCTTTTCCCCATAATTTTGATGGTTCATGGTGTGTTGAACACACAGCGTCATTTTCATCTTGTCCACATTCTCTATCTCCTTCACTAGGATTGAGTGTTTTTGGTTCCAATACTTCGGCCTGCTCTCAAGGTATCTGCACAAATTCCATGCAACATTTGTAACCAAAAAATAATTCCTCAACATAGTGTTAAAATATGTAATGATGTTGTAGTTTAAAGTGTTTTCCTGTGACTTTTCATAGTAAAAGACTAACAAGTTTACATGTTGCATGCATGTGAGAGAAAAATATGGAATATAAAATTTAGAGAGAAGTGTGGAAGAGTTGATTTTTTTTTTCTTCTATTAT